GGCTAGTTTTAGGGTCAGGTATGTATTTGGGGTGTTTAGGTTTAGGGTAAAGCTTCAGGGTTAATTGAAATGACAAACTAATGGGTCAATACCAGGTCCCCACTGAGATGAAAAAAACGTGTGTGTGTGTGTGTGTGTGTGTGTGCAGCAGTCCGAGCTAACTCCTATGAGATGACACACACTCTGGTGTCTCATGGAGCCTGGGTAGAGCAGCTCTGTCAGAAGAGGTGGACGGCGATGCATGAGGTGGCCAAGGTGGGCAATGTGGACATCCTGATGCTGCTGCTGAGAGCCGGGGGGCGGGTCAACCAGAAGGATGTGATGGGCGTGACGCCTCTGGCTGTGGCTGCAGAGCACGGACATCTGCACACCACTGAGATTCTGCTGAACTGTGGTCAGTTCATGAACAGTCCTCTGCATGATGTGACTGTAGCTCAGAGGACTGAGTGTGGCTCTTCCTCCCTGTTCAGGCAGCAAAGTCAACTCCCAGGCTTGTAATGGAGAAAGTGTCCTGATGGACGCAGCCGGAGCAGGGAATACGGCTTGCATCCAGCTGCTGTTGGACAATGGAGGCGACCTAAACCTGCCCAGTAGCACCGGACATCTCCCCATTCACAAGGCTGCATACGCTGGCCACTACAGGTCAGTTCCTGCTTTACATGTGCTGAAGAACCGAGGCGCTTTCTGTACTTGTAGTTTCTGATGAATAAAACATTTTAATTCATCATCAATGTACTCTATGCAAACAAATTCCATCTCTGTACTCCTCCCCCAGTGCTCTGGAAATGTTGATCCCACTGACCAGTAAGAAGGCCATTAAAGAAGCGGGTCAGAGTCCGGTCCACTCAGCCGTGGAGGGCCGTCAGAGTCTCTGCCTGCAGCTCCTGTTGGCCCGAGGCTTCGACGTCAACTACCGCATGAACGCGAGGAACTCTGAGAACTACAGAGACCTGAGGAGAAGTGCCTTGTACTTCGCCGTCTCAAACGGGGATGTGGAGTGCGCCAAAATCCTGCTGGCAGCTGGGGCCAAGACCAACCTGGACCCCCTGCACTGCCTGCTGGTGGCGGTCCGGTCTGGTTCTCATGAGCTGGTGCGGCTGCTGCTGGCAGCCAGGGCAGACGTGAACTGTTACTTCACGGTGGTGAGTGACACGGTGTTTCCCACCGCCCTGCAGTACTGCCTGAAAGACGAGGTGATGATGCGGCTGCTGCTCAACAGCGGCTACAAGGTGGAGAGGTGTTTCCACTGTTACCATGACAACACGTCGGACGTTGAGGAAGCAGAGGGGAAGATTCCAGTAAGTGTCCCACTGTGTCATTTTATGAAAAGCAAAACTTTTTTTTCTGAAATGATCTTTTTTTAATAATTGATGTTATTTGTCTGAATACACTTAAACTAGAAAGTAAAATGTTCTAATTTTGTGTAAACTCAGCTAAATGCTAGAAAACTGAGCTCCGCCTCCTTTGACCTCACATCACCTGTTCAGAACTTTTCCACTCACTTCTCAACGACTCAGCGTTTTTACATTCCAGCATTTCATTTTTGCTTTAATGATCCTAGAATATTTTATTTTCATTATTTTCTGTCTCCAGTTCTGTGACTTCATGAGTCTCTGCTGCCTCCAGCACCTGTCAGGGAGCGTGGTCCGGATTTTACTAGATTATGTCAGCCACGCCCACATCTGCTCCAAACTTCGCCTGATCCTGGAAAAGCAGAGGCAGTGGCCCGAGATTTGTGAAATCCTCTGTGAGTTTCTTTTTGTAGAGGTTTAATCATGATGGCTGCCATCCAATGGATTCAATTTATTACTTGACGAAACATAAAAATAACAACAACTTCAGCAATCGCCAACACAGCAACAGATCTAACAAGATGTTTGGGTAAAATTTAGCTTTTAACTATTGGATTCAACTGTGTCTGTTAGCAAAATACAGGTCCTTCTCAAAAAATTAGCATATTGTGATAAAGTTCATTATTTTCTGTAATGTACTGATAATCATTAAACTTTCATATATTTTAGATTCATTGCACACCAACTGAAGTAGTTCAAGCCTTTTATTGTTTTAATATTGATGATTTTGGAAAAAAAAGTAAAGAAAAACCAAAAATCCCTATCTCAAAAAAATTAGCATATTATGAAAAGGTTCTCTAAACGATTGATTGTGGAGAAAGGCCGATTCCAGACCTTGGGGGACCTTCAGAAGCAGTGGACTGAGTCTGGAGTACAAACTTCCACAGCCACCATACACAGGGGTGTGCAGGAAATGGGCTACAGGTGCAGCATTCCCCAGGTCAAGCCACTTTTGAACCAGAAACAGCGGCAGATGTGTCTTACCTGGGCTAAAG